TTTGCTGTAGAGACCAGATTTCATCTGAATTATTTCAGCACTGCAGAAATGGAGATAAAATAATTGGGATGGATGGTTTATTCTTTCCCGCTTTATTTCACCACTGACACAAGCTGGCTGCATTTCGATGAACTGATTTATGCTGAGTACTGCTCTACAGTGCTTCCAGCTTATCTACAGGAATGAAAACAACTGTCAGCTGCAGGTTTAAGTCAGCTCCTATGGCAGGTGCCACAAGTAGCTGTGTGTGTGTTGTCCTCCAAGGTCAGGGCTTCCGGCTGCATTCCAGGTGAGTGTTTGCTGTGCCCCAGTGACTCAGCTCAGAAGCCTGACATGGACACTGTGTCAGCTCAGGGCTCAAAACCCAGATGATATCATAACCATTTCTGTACAGATGAGGTGCTGCCTTCTGAGGTTCTGGGACTCACCACATTGTGGGGAATTCTATGCTGACTGAGTTGAGGGAGAGAACAGCTCAGAGAATGAATGAGGTTTTTTACATCAATAAAAATAAGTTCAATTCTAATGGAAATCCCACTTAAGTTCTGCCCGAGCATCTAAGCAGGATCTTGCACTGCTGCCTACTGAGCACAGCTCCTGGGCTCCAGCAAGGTACTTAATATGGTTTGAGTAGTACGTGTCCAAATCTTAAATCTCAGCTGTGAGTGCTCAGTTGCAGATGTCAGCAACAGAGGAAAGCAGACCTGCACAGCAAAACACAGCCTGGCATGTACAGTGCTATGAAATCCCCAAGGTGATCAGAGATGTCAGCTCAACCCCATGTCTTCTGATGGATCTTTTACAATAGCCAGGCACATCGTACACCTGGCTGACTATGGAGGCTGGAAACACTGCAGACATTGCAGCTGCCTCCATGGGGTCAGCCTTCATCCAACAGGCACAGGAGCACCATGTAACCAAAATATGGGTAGGACACTGTTCTCAGTGCTGAAATAGTACCAAGGGATTCACTGTTAAACTGCCTGCAGGGGCAGGAGGGAAACCTGTAATAAAAATCTGTAACAACAGTAACAACAGATGCTGCCATCAGTGCCCGGATCTTCTGACCCAGCCAAGGAGGAGACTTTTGTTTGAATCCAGGTGGAGAAGCAGTTTGGGTTTCCACCTGTGGGCAGGCATTCAGCTCTCTTAGAGGTGTGTGGGAGATTTGAGTAACACCTAACTGTGTTATCCACCGACAAAGTGAGTCTTGGAAATAACATGAAAGATGTGAATCAATTTGGAGCATGTGATCCAAATGATACATTACCAAAAAAAAAAAAAAAAAAAAAGGTTAAAAATAATTTAAAAAATGAGTATTGGTTTCTGAACAGTCCAAACTGACCATTCAGTTGTATGGAATGAGCACATATGGCATGGATGGCGATTCTGCCTCTGCATGCTCTCAGGTCCTGGAAGGGCTGATGGGTACAGGGAAGTTCAGGGATGCTGCATGCGCTCAGCAACTGGCGGGGCAGGATGAGAGTTCTTCCCGCTGTTCCCTTGTAACTGGCTAACTTTGCTCTAAAGCAGAGAGCTCCCATTGCTTGCAAACTTGCATCTATTTAGTCTTTTGTCATTAAAATTCTTTGTGTCATCTATGCGCTCCTAATCCCTTTAAAATATGGCCGAGCTCCTGGTTGCCGTGATACCCTTTGGCACGGAGGATCTTGCCGTTGTTTTTCATGGTGTGCAGCTGCTTGCTGTGAACTTTCTGCTGCTGCTCAGCATTATTCATTATCCCCTACTACCAACGCAGAATAACTCAAAGGATGGTGGGCTCACGCTGGCTCTGAAAGGCATGGTGCGTGTGGCCCCGTGATTCCAAAGAGATCTATCTTTTCCATTTCTTACTGCCAGGAATGGCATTACAGGCGTGTGTGTGCAAGGAATCAGCAGAACCGGGGGGCTGCAAGAGCTTTTGTCCTCTTGCGTTTCAAACCAAGAGAAGGGTGATGAGAAGAGGGGCGAGCTGCCTGCTGCCGAGCCATAAAGGCTGCTTTGTGCTGAACCATCCGGGCTAAAAAGAGCGCTGCTCTGCCCTGCGAGCTGCCCAGGGGCTGCTGACAGACCCCTCGAGGACAGCCTTTGTTAGCTCTGGGTCAGCTGCGGTGTGAGATGTCTGGGTCCTCTCTGTATTGCAGCTGCAAAAGGGACAAGGGGTCCTGAATTTGAATTTTATTCTTTTCTTTTTTCCACCACAGAGTTTTCCAGTTAGAGCTGGGGCATTCTGGACTGGAGCCCAAGTGCAGCATGTGCTTAAGGTGAATTCGTGTAGATGTGGGAGAGATGCCGTGAGAAGGGAAGGGAGGATGCTGCTGCTCGTATCAGCACTTGGATATGACTTTCATACCCGAAGGACAGGAGGAAGAAGCTGTGGGACAAATGTTCATCCCAAGAACAGTCTCTCAACAAAAGCAGCTGTTCTCATACCAGTTTGCTCAGCCACGCCTCTGCTGCAAACCCCAATTCTTACTTCACCATTGCTGAGCCACACACAGTGAGCCTCAGAAAACCTCCTCCAAAGGTCTGTGGAGATGGAGCAACTCAATTTTTCATCGCTGCCCACAAGAGCAGGCTTCTGGGAACCCTCAAATGTTGCAGCACCCCAAAGTAACAGCCTGCAAAAGGAAGATGGTAACTGGCAGTAAGAGCCTCACATTTCCCTCATTTTAATGAAACTAACGTGATGCACCTACATCTTCTTACGCTGGCCTTCCCAGGCAGTCTGGGACGAAGAGAGGAATCTGAGCACCTACACCAACAGCACTCATTGCTTTCTAGTCTAGGGTTACATTTTCTAAAGCCATCCAAACGTGCCCTGGCTGGTGGGGCAGAGCAGGGGCTGCCACAGGGCTGGGTGCAGATCAGCGCCTGCCGAGATGCAGGAGGAGCAGCACGGCACAGCCGGGCTCCACAGTCTGGGGCTGCTTCCAATGCTGCTCAGCCGTTGCCATTTCTTATGAACCACACATCTTCCCATTTCTCTCACATCTCGCTAGGAGACAGATCTGCGAGATTTGTTTCCTGAATGAGTTTTGTAAGAGCTTCTAGAAGAGATTTTTTCGGGAAGGGTTTGTCTTACAGTCTTACAGACAGTAAAAAGCACGAAATTGTCGGGGGTTTTTTTTTTTTTGAACAACTGCATGAAGGGAGAAAATGTGAAATATTTTGAGAGCAGCTTTCCTTCATACAAGAAAGCAGAAGCGCCATTCCTCTCCCTTTCTCACACCATCTGTGTGTATTAACGCTAACTATTTTAGAAACAAAACATCTCTTACATCTTTCAAGCAAGCCAGGCTAAAACAATCCGTATAACCACCAAGACAAGTACAGAAGCCATGTAGAAAAGAGGTAAAGCTTTCTTTTATGCTTTCTTCTAAGCTTCAGAGGCCTAAGAAATCTGCCTGAAGTTCTCCATAGTTCATGAGGAGTGCAAGGCAGACAGTGCATGAATTCATGTAGATGTCTTTTGGTACATCCAACCCAGTATCTTGTTTCCTGCAGTTACTGTGAGGGAATCATAGAATCCTAGAATGGCCTGGGTTGAAAAGGACCACAGTGATCATCCAGTTTCAACCCCCTGCTGTGTGCAGGTCACCAGCCACCAGACCAGGCTGCCCAGAGCCACATCCAGCCTGGCCTTGAATGCCTCCAGGGATGGGGCATCCACAGCCTCCTTGGGCAACCTGTTCCAGTGCGTCACCACCCTCTGTGTGAAAAACTTCCTCCTAATATCTAACACCTAAACCTCCCCTGTCTCAGTTTAAAGCCATTCCCCTTCATCCCATCACTATCCACCCTTATAAAAAGCTGCTCCCCCTGCTGTTTATACGCTCCCTTCAAATATTGGAGGGCCACAATGAGGTTTTATCTCCAACATCCTTCGGCAAAGGGCTCAAGAGGTGAACTATCCATGGTGTGGTCTGCTTCATTTCACACATTTTAATCTGGTTCTCTCAGTTTCTGCAGACAGCCACAGTCATGTGGCACTTGAGTCCATCTGATGGTCTCTGCATAACCAGTTCATAACTACATATTAACTGGATAACTAAAATGTTGGCTCCGTCCTCCCAGCATCCCAGAGGAGCGTGACCATAGGCTATGCTCTATCTTTTGTCACCTGGTTTGAGTCTTCCCGAGGCCCAGGTGTCAGTTCTGCTATAAAAATGCATTGTGAGTGCTGCTCTGCAAAGGGTTACCAGAGAGGAAATGAATATTAGCAGCAGCATTATTTATTTCTTCGGAGAGAAATGCTCTGGTTCAGATCAGTTAGATAGCTATTTTTTTCTAAATGCTTCTTTTCCTGAATTATGCTGAACTTATGAGGTTGTCTTTAGAGACTCTAAACCTCTTTAGCTCTGATTTCTGTTACATAGCACAGTTGAACTCTTAGCTTGTTTCTGCATCATGTGGCATCTGAGCCTTAGCTTCCTTCTCCATCAGCAAAGCACCCTCATTTCCCAATGCAGCGAATGCAGTATCATGCTGATGCCCAACAGATGAGTGCTTCATTTGAGGGTACTTACTGATCCTTCTTTAAAAGGAAGCTCCTTTTCTTTCTGGGTTTTCAGATGCTTAATCCTATTCCATGTTGCTGCCTACAAACATCTCATAGTCCAAAGAAAGATGGTTTCAGTGACAGCGATCACTAAGTCGCATAAACAGAAATTCTGAATGTGTCTGAAACACTTTTTTAGCTCAAGAATCTCAGTGCTTCTGGCTGTGTGAGGGGGAAGCATTGCCCCTGGGGCCACATGAGAGCTGATGGACAGCACGCACCACAAGCAGGAACCGCCTGCAGCTGTGTGCACAGGAGCAGCAAGGGGACACAGGTTTGGTGTAACTCATGTCCACGAGCACCATGAGCCCAGGAGTGCTCCCTTCCATAGGACACTGCCCTATGTTCCCAGCAGAATGAGGAACACAGGGCTTGCTTGGGGTTGTGAAAGGGCAGAAGCAAAGGCACCTCAGAGCTGCATCTCACCTGGCTTCCAACATTTACATCCTGCATTTACATTTTATTTATATGTTTAACAGAAAACAGGTAATCAGCTGCTATGTATCTCATAAAACAACAGTAATATAACACAGACCATACATTATGTAACACTTACTGTCAGAAAAACTCTGTGTACACAAGCCCGCAGGATACCATGCATGGATGCAAGCATGAAAGATTGCTCCCCAGGGGCTGGTCCCAGGGAACTTCCCAAATCCTAGCAGCAGATGATTTTTATGGTTTATATCTCATTCTTCCTTTCCCTGTAAACAGCTTGCTCTGGATGTGTCAGGAGATGCTGTGGTGGGAGGAGGGCTCCAGGCTATGCATAAGCCATGCCAAGCTTGGCTGGGTGTGGTGGGGACATGGGGATGCCTCTGTCCTGAGGGTGGTCTCAGGTCAGGTTCACAAAGGTCTCAGGTTGCACACAGTGACCTCCAAGACAGACCCTCCTCCTCTGTTTGCTGCCACTCGTTTGCCATCCTTGACTGAAGATCCATCTGTTCGGAGTGTAAGGAAACCTCCAGGCCGTGCACATGGCTGCCCAGTTCTTCTGCAGGTTTAGGTCTCTGTGAAGCGTGCTTCTGTTGCTGCAGTAGGAATCAGGTGGGGTCAGCATGACTAGGCATATTATTTTCATTTTCAAATTGTCTTACCAGTTCCAGAGCTGAAAAAACTTTTTAACAAGCACAGACCCACAAGTAGGAAGCCCTCTTTTCTGCAGAACACCTCCTTACCAAGGACCTGTACAACATGCCACATCAATGTCAATGGACAATTGCTGCTTTGATCCTTCCACTTTCAGACCGTTTCCTATTGCCAGAAGGCTCAGTCCAAGCCCATCCCAGCCAAAATAGCTCCCAATGAACTGATGTGATTGTGAGCCTGCACAGACGGCAGAGAAACAGCTTTCATTTTGTCACTTGTGCTTTGACTCTACGGCCGCTGACTTCACAACTGCTTTTGAGTCAGTCCCAGCTGATGGCAGCCTTGCCTCTCCCAGCTCAGCCCTCCCTTTGCTGCCACAAGTGTCTGTGTGACAGTGACAAAACAGAGCAGCCACCAGAACTGGGTTAAAATGAACCCTGCAAGAGTAAAAAAAAAAAACAAAAAAATTTCATTTTAACCCAGATCAGTTCCTCAATCCTCTCCTTCAGGTTGTCAGGGGCAAACAGAAAATGATATGAAGGGAGAGTGAGGAGCAAATTATGTGTGAAATGACAGCCTAAGCTATAGGTGGATGGAGATGATCAGTCACAGCCACCAGGCGTTAAGCAACATAAAAACCCCCTTAAGCCTTCAAGTACTTCTGCAGTCTTAAATTGCCATTTCTCCTCTTTGAAACAGCCTTATTTCTGCCCTGCAACCCCTGCTTTCTGACTTCTGCTGGGAGAGGGGGCAGTGACGGTGGTTCAATAGTGCAGGTACGACAGTGCAGGTACTTTTTCATCTTTGGTATCTGATTTTGACTATTTAATTGGAAAACCAAAGGAGGTGCTAAGCTGTTTCTTCCAAAGTGCCATGAGGAAATGGTTGAGGTTGGCGACAGATTTCTGCTGCCAAATACAGCTGCTGCTGCTGGGAGCTGCTTGCTGTGGATGCTGGAGTCTAGAGACACAGCTCGTGCTTTCTGAAAGACATTGCTAGTGATTCCTGCTGGAATTACTGTATGAAATGTGGCTGAAAACCCTCCAGTGTCCTGCCACTGAGCAAAGCACAGCAGGAGAGCCTATTTTTGGGTGTGGGGTGCTCAAACCCCAAGCTGCAGTAGGCTGCCACCTGTCCTTAGCTCCTGCACAGTGACCATGTGGGAGCTCACCTTACTCCCAGGTTTCTGAGGCACTCTCAGTGGCACGGCCACAAACAGCCCCTTGCTCAGGCCAACTGGATTCTGCAACATCCTTATAAGCCAGGAAGTGACTGAATCTTCCAGACATGCAGAATTCTGCATCTTCAAAAACGACACAACAAGGGTCCCCATCACTCTCAAAGGGAAAAGAAAAAAGATGGAGATAAAAAGTAGTGGAAAACGAGAGATGTACCACAAGACTGTTATTTAGGGGTAGGAATTTGTCCTGTTATTAGCGATGAATTTTGGACAGAACCTGCATTAGTTCTGGATGCTGTGTCCTTGCTTCTCTTTTTATTTACAGAATAAATTGCAAAAAGCAATTTAGGCATGAATCTTTTTGATCTGAAAGTGCTAAAGCCTACCAGAAATTTTGACTTTTTTCAGTGTTGGCTAATTTTGTGTTCTGAGTAGGAAGCTTCAACTTCACACCATTTCTACACATGCTCCTTATCTGTTACCCAGCAGTTCAGGCATGCTAAACTTGTAACTGAGACATTCCTCCACTAATCTCTATGGCTTTATGGGGATTTTATTATTGCTCACCTTACTGTAGATCTTGAGAAGTCATGGGGAATATCTGAAGTAGCTTGGAATGATTTAATTTGTGAAATACTAGTGGGATGCAGTGATATTTTAAGAGTCCCTACCTATTCACCCAGCCCTGACTTTGTTTCGCTTGCCAGCAAATGAGCGAAGCAGGGAAGGCAGGGGCAAGGTGAGCTGCCCACTAATAGGGCATGTGTCCCCTTGGACAGCACCCACTTGTTCATCCTTACAGTGAACACGGCAGAAGAGAGCACACAGGCAGAAAAAAGTCTCCAAGAAGAAGCAGCATTAGCAATGTCTTGCACACTGAAGTATGTCTCAGAATTGGCAAAGCAGCAGCTGGAGGAGGCAATGACCGGGTTCCACCATTGCCCTTTTTGGTCCAGATGCTTTGGCACAAGCTGAGAGCCAGCTGGTGGCTCTGGCATCTTGGTGGGTAAGGCCACACATGCCTGTGCCACCAGCCTGCTTGCTTCTCCCTCAGGAGCAGCAAGGAGGGACAGCACATGGCATTATCACAGCATCTTTAACAGAGGCCTTGCACACCATTGCCAAGCAAGATCTCTGCTGGATCAGTACAGATTTTAGTCTATGGACTGTGCCTGGTCATTGCTGTGGCTGATGTCAGCTTGACCTGTACAGGTAGGCTGTTTTGCTGTACAATAGATGGATCCTGACTATCACAGAGTGGATGCAGTGCAGTCTTCTTGGTGCCCATCTTGGACGACTGTATGAAAGCAGACAGGAAGACTTCAGAGGCAATATCTCTGGAGCAGCCAGCCATCATGGCCAGCACCACACATGCATGTTTTTCAAGCACAAAGGAGAATTTGGATATGCTGCAGCCAGTCCCTTCAGATGAGATGTGAAAGCAGAGGCCTCCTCCACCAGCGTCGCCTGATGTGCAGCGTGCAGAACCCGTAGCACATCCTGAATTCACAATGAAAAGAAGCCAGCATCCGGTTCGCTGCCTCATCTTCTACTAGCCAGCTCCTAATGCCCATCCCAAGTCTGTCCACCGCCATGGAGAATAGCTGTGACCTTCATCCAAACCATAGCTGCCTACCTGTGCCTGTGCTCAATGGGCCCACCGGAGAAGAAGCGCCGGGCTACTTGGAGCTGGTGTACTTGGTGACGGCCTTGGTGCCCTCGGAGACGGCGTGCTTGGCCAGCTCTCCGGGCAGCAGCAGGCGCACGGCTGTCTGGATCTCCCGCGAGGTGATGGTGGAGCGCTTGTTGTAGTGCGCCAGGCGTGAGGCCTCACCCGCGATGCGCTCAAAGATGTCGTTGACAAAGGAGTTCATGATGCCCATGGCCTTGGAGGAGATGCCGGTGTCGGGGTGGACCTGCTTTAGCACCTTGTAGACGTAGATGGAGTAGCTCTCTTTCCTGCTCTTGTGTCGCTTCTTATCGCCCTTCTTCTGCGTCTTTGTCACGGCTTTCTTGGAGCCCTTTTTGGGGGCAGAAGTGGACTTTGCTGGCTCTGGCATCCTGAGAGCTCTTTTTTCTGGTTCTTGAAGCTGCTCGGAAAGAACACAAAAAATCACATTCATTTTTATTCTCCTATGGTATAGTTCTACTGAAAGATGCATCAGTGCCGTCTCCAAATCTGAGACAACCACCCCACGACCCCATCCAAGTGTTTTTGAACTGCCACTGGGAACCACACTGGTTTGTGATTATTTTTGTGTTGTTTTCTGTTTATATCCCCATGATACTGGCCTTGCCAACACTGCTGAACCCAGACCCAGCTGGCATCTGCTTAGTAAAGATGGGCTGGGGATGGACATATTTCTGAGAGGGACACCAAAGTTCCAAATAAAGCATTAACTGCAGCATGGATTAAATTCAGTCTTTCTGGAACATGCTGGAGGCACTTGGATGATATCACTGCAGCCAACTTTTTATGAGGCTGTTTATTTTGTACAGCTACTACAAACTCCAACAGAACTTTTTGTTTGGCACGTCCACAAAAGTTTGAGAGTGCCCATATTTATGTGGCTACTGTTTTAAATCACGTATTATAAAGGAGCATAAAAATAACATAGTTTTAAGGTAACCAGCTGAAGCACTGGAATCTCTCAGCATGAAATTTAGTAAAAATGTAAAAAATTAGAGAAACTCAAAGGAGATGTCAGGAATCATGTGACAGAGAAGCAGGAATGCAGATAGGAGGAAACAAAATGCTTTTGGGCTACATGTTGATTGAGGCAATGTTCACAAATCTTCATTTCTGGCTATTTGGGGCTTTCTGCTTTGTGGGGAGCAGGCCTCTGTTGGCCAGCCTACGTCAAAGATGTTGGATTCTCTCTCTGAGCTTTAATTAATTCCACCACAGCTTGCAGAGCCACGACCTTTAGCTGCCTGTTGTCGTCAAGGAGTGCTGTAACAAAAGGGAGGTATGTAAACAGGTCATAAAAGTGGATGCCTCCTCTACACTACAAATTTACATGTGTTTTATTGTGGGTCAAGGGAATAACTGTGCTGCAGCCTGGTCTCTTATTACAAAGGTTTTGTGTTTGAGTGCTCCCTTGGAAGACAAATCTCCTGCAGGCTCTGGATGCTGGAGGATCAGCTTCCAGCATCGCCCCAGGGCTTGGTCTTTCATGGCTCTGCAGTCTCCTGCCTCCTGCTGAGGCTGCACCTCCCTCGAAGACAACCTATGGATGCCAGTCAGTTGGCCAAGAGAGACAAGAGAAAAAAAAGGAGAATCAAGGCTGGAGAATCAAGGAGAATCAATGGCACATGTGGATATCATAGAATAGCTTGGGCTGGAAGCAATCTTAAAGACCATCTATTTCCACTCTGTGGGTGGAGACACCTCCCACCACACCAGGTCACTCAAACATGTAGAAGGATGTGGGGTAACCAGGCATGCCCATCCAGAACAACTTCTTCCCTTTCTATAAAACCTCCAAAGATTTTCACCGATCTATCTGCTTGATTCTTCCACCCTTCTAAATTCCTTTCTGGTGTTTTTCTCAGTGGAGTTATTTGGATGGGTAAATTCTAGATTGACCCAAAATACAGAACGCACCTCAAAACTCTGACACCTGTTCACTCAGATGTTGTGTTTTCCTCCTTTGGTGACAACAACATTTTTCTTCCTTTCTTCCTCTACTTGAGAAGCAACATTCAAGAGAAGAAAACCCCTACTGTTCTTGTTTGCAGACTTGAAGATAAGTCTTTTTAAGGGAAAGACATTTTTCCAAGACAAGAAATAACTGTGCACTTTCTTCATTTTCTCTTGGGCTAATTCCCTAACTGAAAAAACACTGCAACTGAAAAATGGACGTGACTGTTTCTTATGCTTACAGGACAGTTTCAGCTGTTCAACTCATTGAAGCCCTTGGGTAGTGCAGCCAGGATCTCAGTTTTCTCCCATTTATAGCTGCGATGAGGGGAGTAAAGATGCTAAAGCTCAGAGATTAGCACAAATGCTTCAGTGTCCTTGCTTTTCCCCACCTATTTCTTTGTAGCATACAGTTTAACAGCTAAATAATACCTTCTTTGGGAACTGGCTTCCTGCCTTCCAGTTTGCTGGGACGATGCCCAGTACAAAGGGCCTGATTGAGGCTGCTAAGTGCTAAATAAATCATGTCAATAATGGCCCACAGTACCACCTAGAACTCTGGTGACACCGCTGTTTTTCTGCCACACAGACAGGTACTGCCTTGCTACAGAGGTGAAATTAGTGGGATTATCCCAAGGTGTCCACGAGGACAGTCTGCTGAGCAAACATTACCTACCTTAGGAAAAAAAAACAACAATCACATTTCTTTCCTTTCTTAGGAAAAGAAAAAAGAACAAAAAGAAAACCTGAAGAGACCAACATTTATTATTTTGCATTTAGAAGCATTGCCACGATGTCTGGCTTTTTTACATGGAGCGTGGCTGACCCCTTGATGGGAGAGGCTGTGGGGTCTTCACCCCTGGGGACACACAGAACCCAACTGGATCCAGTCCTGGGCAGCCAGCAGCAGCTGGTCCTGGTGGAGCTGCACTAGACAATCTCCAAAAGTGCCTCCAGCCTCAGCCATTCTGTGGCTGCTGGAGACTGAAGCCGGGTACCCAGAACAGGCTTTAGAAGTTGTGCTCCCCCAGATGGCCATTTCCCATGGGATGCTGCAGCTAACAGCACCCCTACAAGCACTCCTGGTGAGGGGTGATAACACTGGTCTCCAGGCACTCCAGGTCTTTGGGAAGCAGGATACGGCCATGCAAGAAGAGGCACTTGGAATCATCAAGGTGAGATTTAAAAGGATTCAGGCTTCTGAGGAAAATCTTCTGGAATGTTTTTCCTTTACTTTCTATGCTGTGAGTCAATCAGTTACCATTGTTGGCATTTGTTTCCCTTCCTCAGAAAAACAACAAAACCACTGCAGTATTTCTTCCAGCAGTCCTATGCTGTAAGCAGCAGCCTGCCTGCTGCTAGGGAGCAGAGTGGTAGGAAGTGACAGATACACCTTTGCCTCAACACCCCTTTCCTCAGCATCATTAAAAGGAAAAAGAGTTGAAAACATATTCAAAGAGATGAATCACTGCAGCCTCTCTGATCTGAAGAGTCCTGCTGAGAAATCCCATATGAAGCCTGATGCTGCCTGCATCTTTCCTATGCCTGATACACTGACAGCCAGACTGGAAGAGAGACTCTCTCAGCAATTCTTTCTTATTTTTGGGGTTGCTGCCGTAAAATCAGCACCAAGTTAGTACCAGTGGTGTGCAAGGATGACAAGGGCTGGACCATTCTTTGGCCTTTAGGACCTCTCCTCATGCAGAGGTGGAAACAGCACTCACATTTTTCCTCCTTTTCTCTCACAGAATCTGTCCCTGCTGAGATGAGCTTCGTGGCATCTGTTGTAAATCCTCACGCCTGCCGCACTGCCCCCTTGCTGTAATTTACTAACAGCCACAAGGACTACATTTCTATCATGGTACTTTGTTCTTGGGATGTTTTGATGAAAAAAAAGAAAGAATATTTGTAGGAAAACCTGAAGCTCTCATCTTTCTGACATCTGGTACTCTTCTGATACTTGGTGATCCTCTGATGATCTATTTTAATCCTTGTTCTAATAAATAAGAGCCAAGAGGATCCTGCTCTTTACTCTGCCCCTTACATATGAAAGTTTTCTTAGTTCTGGTCAATTATTGTCCCATTTTTTAGTTTCTCTCGTGATATAAAATCAAGAAAACTTGGCTTTAATCCCACATGTCAAGAAACCTGAAATTTGCTATTGCTGTCGGTTTTACTCTCAAACACAAAGAAAGGCAACAAATACCAGAATGTTCTGCAGAAAAGTTTCTTAAATGGCTTCATCTGCTCAGAAATGTTTGCATGAGTGCAGACAGATCTGTTAAATGCAGTTAACAAGTTACCAGATGTCAGCAGATGACTGTTATTGGAGCACATTTCTGCAAAAGGCAGATCCCCTCCATTTTACAGTGGATTGCAATGTACCTCACGGTTATTAAACGAGAACCCTCTTATCCAGCTGCGTCGTTAAGAGTGATACCTGAGAAAACAGGCACGTAGTTTATGGTTATTTGGTAGCAAGCTCTGCCTAGGTAGCAAAACAGATCAGAAGTGAGGTGAGTCATGGTGAGACGCTGGTGACGCTTCCTCATGTGTAAAAACTGGTAGTCATGTTTTGGACTGGGAAGAATTTTTCTCTTGGCATGTTGTGTGGCATGTGATCATGAGGTAATGCTTGCTTTCTTCTGAAGTAATGAGGAAAACAGTTTCCTAGAATAAGGTAGACTAATCTGAGCTGATTTTTTTCCGAAGGTGGAGGGCCAAAGAGCAGATTTCAGGATTCCCATATCAATAATAGTGCCCGTCCCCAATCCCACATGCTCTGCTGTGTTTTATTTAGTTGTTCCTGTAAAGTAATCATTTCAATGGCTAAATGTTTAATCCAAATTTGGATTCATGGTTACATATTGGACCATGAACATCTGTTAAAACTGAAGCTCTCCCCCTCTTCCACCATATTTAAAGAAATGCTACAGCTCACTCCCACACGCAGGTGCACTACGTTCCAAGTGACCCACAGCTTTAGAAGAAACACAAGCAGAGTAACAAAGAGAGATACACTGGCATCCTAACCGTGTCCCAACTCCTTACCATTGCTTGTGGTAACGCATTACCTGGGACTTCCGTCCAGGAACCTCCTTACAGTAACCTATGCTTTGCTTTTCTTTGCAGGCATTTCCATTTACAATTTTAGAAAACACATTTCTGAACACCAGCAACAGCTGTAATTTCTTGTGCTACCTCTACTGAAGCTCCAATTACTTCTCAGGACTGTGGGAACATCAGAGATGCTTATGCACCAAGTATAGAGCAGGACCATAGATCAGAGCTGTCTGCAGGGAACATATACTGAATTTCTAAAGAAAAGAAAATCTTATTCATGAACCAAGCAGAGCAGCAGAGGGACACAGGACTGCAAGAAGAATGGCTGTCAGGAGGTTAAATATTGCTGTTGTTACTCTGAGAGTGCCTGAAGTCAGTGGGGGT